CTCACACGAGAATGAGGATTGTGGAGGGACAGCGTAGGAGGTTACCAGCTTCGGAGTTTGTATCTAATATCAAAGCGCTTAGCATGGATTACAAAGGACGCAGCAAGCCGGTCAAGCCTACATTGTAGATGTTCACAGCCTCTCCATCGACTGCGACAGCAACTTCATATCTTTTGCGCTTTTTAGACTCTGAGAGACTATAGACTTCACCGATATGGGTTTTGCCCTTGGATGCGTGCAAGGGGCGAGGCAATTGGGCCAAGACCGATGGCGGCTGCAGATCCATGGCAGCAGATATCAATTTTTAACGTACGCGACCGTTGCCGCTGAAATGCTGAGCAAGTGTAGTCTCTTGAAGAAATCCATTTCGATGCATCTTGAAAAATTTCCGGTCCTATGTTGTTCCGCGGTTCCGATGCTAGGCCTAAAAAGGCTAGCTTTAAATTACAATGTACCTCCGTTACACTTAAGGTACAGTAAATGACGTACAGGAGGAGAGACTGACCGCGCGGGAATACGCGCTTCTTCGCGTTCTTTTGGTGCATTCAATCTCGTGCTTCAATTATGCCTATCTCTTGTCTCAATTGTTGCACACTGCGCCCCCATATACCTTTGATTTCCTTATAGTCTCTACTACATTCTTTCCCAGCTTGCTTGCTATATTTACTCTGCATGTACAATTTGTTGTTCAATCTGACGGTGATCGGGCGATGAGCGTCAGCTCATCGAATTAACACGTCGCCGTGATCTATGGCAATGGGACAGGAAGGGCAACGAGCAATTCACCCTTTTTTCGAAGAGGTCAATTCACACCCCCATTCCTGTATTTCAATATACTCATACAGAATAGACTTAGGAATACCAGCCAACACTATCCCTCAGAGCCTCCCAGGAGACGGTTTACTCCCTTCACATGACCTCCTTCACAATGGCAGCCCATTGTCTATAAATAAACAGTCAACAAGCGAATATATTTCACCCTATCCCGTATTCTATGAATTACCTTCCCCGGAACACAGACACGTCGTGATGCTCGAACATGATCCCAATGCACCCCGCAGGAAAAGGCGCAAGACTGATAAGTCCAACGATGCAAGTCACTCGGATGGTTCCATAGCCAAGTACATCACGGCTAAAGGGCCCCCGTCAACTTCCCACGGTGAAAGCACTTCGGTCGATGATATATCTACACCCGCTGAAGATGATGGCCCTATGGTGACCGAAGCTGAAGCTAGGACTCTCCCTTCAACTCCTTCGCCCGAAGTCGCGGCTCCTCATGATAGCTCTCACGCAAAGGATGATTTTACGCTGAATAAGGCGACGCCTAGGAGGTCCCCAAGACAGAAAATCATCAAACTAAACCCTAACGGAAAGCTTCTAAGCTCGCCTGTCGCGGATAAGTCGGACAAGTCCACGCGGAAGAAGGATAAGGGGCGCGGCAAATCAGGTTCTCAAAAAGAAGGGGGCAACAAGCATGAAGTAGTGATCATCAAATATTCCAACACAAATGATGCTGCAGAGAGCTTGGGAAAACGCATTGACGATATCATTAGTGGCCGGGCGAAATACGCCCCTCCAGTTAAACATCAGCCACCTATTCGTCCTGCACCTAAAGACGAACCGGCGAAACCTACCCATCCATTCTTTTTAAAGAAGGCGACCCGCAAATCTGATTCCTTGCAACCTCAGGTTAGCAACCAAAATTCTCCAGTGGTGGACAAAGAGGAGGAAGGAGTCACTAAGGCCCCATTAACGTCTCATAACCCTCCAACACCAAGCTTAGGAGTCATCAAGACAGCCATACGCACCCCCTTTACACAGCGAGCTTCTAAGCTTCCAGAACCAATGCAACCGATATGGCCTCCACGAGATTTTATCCATGTCCGTGGAAACCAAGCAGGACAACCGAATCTCCAGTATGTTTCAAATATGGATCGGCGGAAGTCCAAGATGGCTGCTATTAGCATTCAAGACAGAGAGAGCATACTCTCGCCGGGGATGCAAGGGTTATGTCAGGAGCCCGACAAAATCTTACGAATACCTGAGAGGCATGTCGCTAGCGGAAATATCCTACAAAAGGCAATAGCCGGACAATTATCCCAGTCTACCTTGTCAAGCCCAGACAGCTACACTCTCAGTGATACATGTCATCCCGCTATTGCCAAACTATACGCATCTATACCAAATTCGATGACTGCTTTTGACCGTGGGGAGTGCGACAGTTATCTCTGGACTCAGAAGTACGCCCCGACCTCAGCTGGGCAAGTGCTCCAGACAACCAGGGAAGCTTCCATGCTACGAGATTGGCTAAGATTTCTTATGGTGTCTGCTGTCGACACCGGTAAAGTCTCCAAAGATGGAGAGACCAAACGAAGCTTGGACAAAAAGAAACGGAAGAAGCGCAAGAAGACGGAGAATCTGGATGGATTTATCATTTCCAGTGCGGATGAGGCATCTGAAATGGGCGAGGTCGGCGAATCAGAGGAAGATGAGTTAGCGGGTGGTGTAACAGTCTCGTCGAAGAGAACACTTATTCGCTCTGGTGATCTGACTTTAGAAAAGGGGCGTGTGTCCAATGCAATACTTCTAAGTGGTCCTTCCGGATCTGGAAAGACTGCATCCATTTATGCGGCCGCAAAGGAGCTTGATTTTGAGGTGTTCGAGATCAATCCGGGCAACCGCCGCAGTGCCAGGGACATTGTGGAACGCGTTGGTGATATGACTCGCAATCACCTCGTACATAACATGAATGGTAATGACGAGAAACCTAGCCGCGAATCTTCCGATATTGATTCTCCAAAAGATGAGACATACGATCCCAAACAGAACAAACTGATGGGCTTCTTCAAGGCCACGTCTGACAGTGCTAGCAAGGAACAAAAGGCCCAAAGACAAAACTCGGTAAATCAAATAGATCAGAAACGTTCCCGGAGTCAGAAACAATCTTTTATCCTTCTGGAGGAGGCGGACCTTCTCTTTGAGGAAGACAAGCAGTTCTGGTCGGGAGTATTGGCGCTAATCAATCAATCAAAACGTCCAATCATTATAACTTGTAATGATGAAAGTCGAATCCCACTTGAGGATATATCTTTTCATGCCATTCTCAGATATAGGGTCCCACCGCAGCACCTTGTCGTTGATTATTGTCTTCTACTAGCTGCGAATGAAGGCCACATGCTGAAACGCGAGGCTGTCAACAACCTTTTCCTGAGCACCGGCGGGGATCTACGTCGAACAATCACAGAATTAAACTTCTGGTGTCAAATGGCTATTGGTAGTGAAAAATCTGGTCTTGATTGGATGATTGACAGATGGCCCCGAGGTTCCGATATGGACCAGGACGGTTATCCGCTCCGGGTGATCAGCGTGAACTCGTACGAACCGTTCATGGGCTGGTTCAGCCGTGACATGCTCTTAAATAAAGGCTTAGCCGGTGAGGTCGAATCGCAACAAGAAGCCTTTTCTTGGTGGGATCTCAGTCTACAGGATGCGGAAAGAATGTCAGACACGGATGTATCGCATGCTACACCAGCTGCGTCAAACAGAGAACGACTTGATAGACTGCAGTATCAGTCCAACCTCATGGATATGAGAAGTACCCTTGACGTCTTAAGCCTTGATTGTTCGCTTGATCTCAGATTGGTAAGTCTCTCTCATAGGCCACTTACCTTGCACCCATGCTGACTTCTAGGAGGATGCTCTCGATACTTCTATACCTCCAATGCCGGAGAAGCAAAAAGCGAACTATGTTGACGGTTATCCCTTATTGCATGCCGATGTCGTGCCCGATTACTCATCATTGTCTACGAGTATCGCAAGTACATTCGAGGTTTTATTGGGCAGAGTTTTCCGGCCATGTCGCGAAGCCAACGTCGAATCATTACAAGCGAATAAAGTTCTCAAGAACGTTACCAAACCCAAGTTCACGAATTCCCAGCAGGCAGAATTTACCAGAGCCTTTGAGCCAGTCATGAGAGCAAATTATATATTCCCTCTCCCAACAGGACGCCTGAGTCCATCGTTCGAAAATGGATTACGACCTATCAGTGAAGACCTCGGTCCGTACGTGCGTGCGATTATCGCGTTTGATCTTCGTCTCGAGCAATATCGGATGCAACTGAGCGGATTACTCTCTCAGCATGGACAAGGTTCAAAAAGGGCACGAACAACAAGGGCGAGTCGCGCGGCACTTGAGGGTGGCAGCAAAGCCGAAACACGAAAGGAGCGATGGTTTCCTCCTGATGCCAATCCCACTCTTATTCTCGCCACAGGTGGGCAAGATTGGCAGGATCTATTAGTAAAGACTGGTTATTTCGTGGTTTCGTGTGCGGAACCTGGCAGAGAATGCAATGACCATGCAGCAGCAGAGAGTTCCAGCGAGGGTGGAATTTGATGTATAGATACCCAATGGAGTCGGTCCATTACAGAAGTTACGATATGAGAAATGTACAGTATTTATCACAAGCACTGGATATATGATTCAATAGAACTTAGAAGTTTCTGAGAAAAGGAAAAATTAAACAGGAAAGAAAACAAAATAAAAATAAAGAGAATAGAGGTAACAATAACAAACAAATAAACCACCCTAATCCTGGACAGTGTCATGGACACTGAGGTGGTCGGGTGGCCCAAAGTTGCTTAGTGCCATCAGTGGACCATCTGCCAAACAGCTTCTCCGCCTCTCCTCACTTCCAAGAACTGACTGCTGCAGCTTCATCTCATGGCTCTTGCTCCAGAAAGGGCCATTCAAGGAAAAGCCGGTCTTTTTCTCGTTCTAATGTGTTTCTATTTTCAGATTTAATTGTTGTCCTGCTCAGCTGCGCAATCGGACCTCGGTATTGGGGTTGTTACTAGTGTGGGCTAGCTGTTGTTTGGCCCCATCACATCATCACCTACCTTATCTCTCCCGCCTCCGACCGAACTCCGCTGCATAACGGGATACCGTTGGATCAACACCTCCTCTTTTCGCCGGCTTCCCCTCATAGAAGCTCCTTCCCTCCATGTCCTTGTTCGGCACATCACCCGAGGACTCCTCGGCAGGTAGTTCGGCTCATAGGTCCAAGTCTTCGCTCTTCGCCGACGAACCCTCTCTTGGTACTGGTAGCAATGCCAACCTAGGCTCTTCCTCCCTCTTCGCCGACGATGACGACCTGGGCTCTGGCTCGCCGTGGAATAGCAATGCCAACAAAAGAACGGCCCGGCATAAGCTCGTGAAAACCTTGTTATCGGACTCGGATGCCCCCGAGAGTTATATCGATGCCTACGACCTGGTCCTCAGTACTGGCGATCGCGTTGGTGCCGGTATTGGACTGACTTCAGTCAGGGAAATTCTGTCCGGCAGCGGGATCAGCGCCTCTGACCAAGGAAAAATTTTCAATATTGTTGTTTCTGGTGATATCGATAGTGCAAATGGGCTAGGACGTGGCGAGTTCAACGTTCTTCTGGCACTCGTGGGCCTTGCGCAAGAAGGGGAAGATCTTACATTGGATGCGGTTGATGATAGGCGCAAGAGTAAAGATATATTCAACTCTAGTATATTACTTGTATTCTAACCTAGTTTAACTGCAGAGCTCCCCGCGCCGAAAAGCTTATACCTTGATGCATTGCGCGCAAAACAGGAATCCAGCACCCCTGCGCCGTCGCAAGAGCGGCCGATTACTCCCCCTCGCCCTGCGTCACCCCAGCAAGCACCCAACTCAGCTCACTCACGACGATCCCGACGAGAATCGATGACAGGCTTGGAGTCTGACCCTTGGGGTAGTCCAGAGCTGCATCGCGGACATGCCCACACACAACTCGAATCCGACCATCCAGTGTTGAATGGCTATGGTAGTGTTCGGTCCGCTACTAACGCTTGGTCTGGTAGAGTCGGTGAGGACAACAACCCCAATGAAATCTCGAACAGCAACCGCGCGAATGGCCAAACGGATACTGGGCCGTCCCACGGCTCAGGGTTTGGGTGGGGGGAAAGTTTTGGCAATACACCGAGTGATAGTGGACTTGGAGGAACAGCCCGGGCTGGCCTTGGAAGCTTTGGCCCTCCTAGTAGTGATCATAGCGACTCGAATCCCCGTCGGCGGTCACTGGGGATAGGTAGGGTAGCAAGCCCGCCGGTGGAAGAACTCGTGACAGTGACGCTACTCCCGGAGAAGGAGGGGATGTTCATGTTCCAGCATCGCAATTACGAGGTCAAGTCCCCTCGTAGAGGGAGCACAGTGGTGCGGCGATACAGTGATTTCGTCTGGCTGTTGGACTGTCTCCAAAAACGGTACCCGTTCCGACAGCTTCCTCTTCTTCCACCGAAGAGACTTTCAGGTATGTCAAAGCAAAAGCTTTCTAAAATAAGCTTACTCACCTTTTTCCGCAAATCTAAGTCAATGGCACTCACCTTGCAGCGGATTCCAATGCATTTCTCGAAAAGCGTCGCCGTGGACTCGTTCGATTCACCAGTTCCCTTATTCGGCACCCGGTCCTTAGCCAGGAGCAACTCGTGATCATGTTCCTGACTGTTCCTACTGTAAGTGGAACTAGAGCCTCAAAGAAGAGTTGTAATGTACGGCTAATAATGACCCGATACTAGGAACTGTCTGTGTGGCGGAAGCAAGCCACGATTTCGGTGCAAGATGAATTTATTGGCCGAGACCTTCCCCCTGATCTGGAAGACTCCTTGCCTTCTACACTTCCGGACACACTAGAGACCGTCAGGGGCGGTGTTAAGAGGTCTGCAGAAATCTACATCAACCTGTGCACATTACTTGAGCGTTTAGCCAAGCGCAATGAAGGCCTTGCGGCTGATCACCTGCGGTTCTCGCTTGCCCTTCAATCCCTCACGGAGGTGACTCGAGACACGTACGCGATTGATACCAACGACGTTCCTTTACTTAATGAGGGTATCAAAGCTACTGCCAATCATCTCTCAGCTAGTCAAAGCTTACTGGAGGATGAAGCACGTGCCTGGGAAGAGGGCGTGTTGGAAGACCTGAAGCGCCAGCGAGACTGTCTAGTCAGTGTGCGGGAAATGTTCGACCGCCGAGACCGTTACGCGCGGAACAATATTCCCCAACTGGAGCGGCGCATCGAGAGCAACGAGAGGAAGCTACAGGATTTAAGAAGCCGACCTCAAGGTACCGTCAAGCCCGGAGAGATCGAGAAGGTCGAGGATGCAATCATCAAGGTACGCAGGCCTTCCACGCCTTATTTTGCCATCCTCTACTGACGTCGCGTTTGTTGGACTTGCAGGACAAAGAGTCGATTGTACAACAACATGCGCGCGGTGTCTTCATCAAAGAATGCATCCGCGACGAAATAGCATATTTCCAGCAGAGCCAGTATCATATTAGCCGACTTCACCAGGACTGGAGTCAGGAGCGGGTCAAGTATGCCGAGCTGCAGGCAGATAATTGGCGGTCATTGAGTGACCAGGTCGAAGGCATGCCCTTGGGTGACTGAGAAGAAGGATATGTTTGTACCAATGCAGGAGGCCGGTCTAGACGTTTTTGACTTTTTTTAGTGGTGTGTCCAGTATGTGTATACGTTGATTATTCCCTTTGCCGCGGTCGCCGACGATTGCGTGGGGAAGAGTACGGGATCCTTTTAGCCTGATGTTTCTGAAGCGGTCTTTTTGCGATGTATCCTGTCTCGCTTACTGCATTGTTCTTGTTTCAAGTGTCTTCGTGGTCCTCCGGGACCGTCAGGATTGATACCTTTAATTTGGAATGTGGTTGGGCTGCTTGTTGGGAGTGAGAAACATGACCCGATACATCATTAAGATCGACTGCACTGAGTAGAACGGAATCTGACAGATCCCATAACACCGTTGAATGGGATTAATGTGCTCCAAACCAGAGTTCATAGACGTATGCACGATGCATAGCGTGTGACTCCTCGGCAAATCTCTTCCGGCCATAGTCTGAGTAGAAGGCCAACACGAGTTGTCGGCGGGCGAGAGCGTGACTGGGGTCTCCACTGCGGAGTTGGTTCTTTTTAACTAGTAGTGCCAACCAATCCGGACATTAGGAAATGCCCTTGGCAGCCTTGCAAGGCTGGGCACGGGAGCTTCCATCATCCTAGGTCCCTAATTTATTAGGATTAATTTGAGCCGGGAGAGATAAGACGCTCAGGTCGCCCATGGATGGGGGCGGATGTCGTGGAGATTACGAAAAAAGAAAGATCCATGAATGGGGCCTCTGCACTTAAATTTCTCGAGATCGAAGAACCGACCCTTCTGCAGGTGGCACAGTACTGTAAATATGCTTAGCGTGGGGCCTCACAGATCTTGTCACGGTGAGCGCCATGTGGTCGACTCTGGAGTGAGTTGAGAGAGGAAGAGAATGACGAGGAGTTGCAGATCGATGCAGTAGATAGGTCTCGATTCACGGCGCTAGTATCGATGTTCCTTCGTGGACCAAATTCTGGGACCTGTAACACGTACTACTTCTGAGGACAACTTATACCTGAGGTATCCATGGATTGTACGGGGGGTAGTGGGAGTTCCTCCTACGTATATATTCGGGAATCCTGCCGTTCTCAGGTACAGGAGATAAGGGGAAAACATACGTAATTCACCAACCGCGATCGGGAACGGTGCTACTGGGTAGTGGTATTGTGGGTATAATACCGGTAAAATTTCCAGCTTGGTGGAGTGCGTCCGCCCGCCAAGACCAAAAATTGTTCGCTCCGCGAATAAGCCGGTGGGCCCGTGACTTGCCAATCCCCGCCAGTATCTCCTCTCAGCCGCGGATCTGATTTGCTTTCTTCCCTGCAATCTTCGCCGCCCAGAGCAGAGGATCTACCCACGCTTTCCAGAACTGAGCGCAGTATTACATACCGAAGACACTACCTCCTCCCCCAGATCAAATCAAGCGCCAGGATGATGGTCTTGGCCTGGGTCACGGTCTTGGTCTTTGTTTCTTGAATTTTCTCTTCCTCGTTTCTCTGGAGTGCCCAGAGTCTTGTCCTGCCTCTGGTCATTTCTTGTCTTCGCTTGTCCTTCGCTTGTCTCTTTCTTGTCTTCTCTTGTCCCGTTTCTTTTCTCTCGGTATCTGTTCCTTCTATCCTGCTTCCTTTTTGTTCCCTCCAGAAGGCATCTCCTGGTTGGTACACCATTTGGAGTGTATATCCCATATACTACTGGTCGTTCTGCTCAGCCGGAATAGTAGTTGCCCAATCTGGTAAGTCTCTGCCCTCTCCAATCAAACTGTTTTCTTTCTTCCCTTCACTTGGCACTCGAATCAACTCTGGTTCCTACCTATCTCCGCACCTTTTTTTGTCCCTTTGAATATTCTATTTTCCTGTTCGATTTGATATTCTCCAGCTCTGTGTTTTTCTGCCAATCGCATGTATTCCCTCAATTAAGCGTTTTTACCCTTACAGGACGCAGCAAGGGAAGGCACGTTGTGAGAAAAAGTGTCCGCCCTGCTTTCGCCCGCCTCATCCGTCATCGTTTCGGACTTAACACCCCTCCCCGAGTTATGCCGAGAGCGTCGGTTTCACCATCTCACGAGGCGCATTTCTATTGACTGAGAACCTCGCGGTCTGATCGGTCGGAAACCCTTTGCGATAGTTCCTTTTTACATAATAATTAAAAAGGAACACCGGGGAAGGCACACAGAAATCAGCCAAGGGTCGCGGAAGGACACACAGACAACGGTCGCAGTCGCGGTCGCAGTCCCCGGACACCTTTCAACATCATGGCATGGGATCATTTGGATATAGATAAGCCGCATCTGGCTTACATGATCCTGGGCGGTTTCACCGGCCTGTTCATGCTTTGCTCTCTCTTCGTGAAGGAGAAGCTGTACATCGGCGAAGCAACTGTCGCTACTCTATGCGGGATCATCTTCGGGCCACATGCGGCTAATCTCTTCAATCCCCACGAATGGGGAAATATTGATAAGATCACTCTTGAGTGCTCTCGTATCGTTTTGGTCGTACAATGTTTCGCTGTCGGTGTCGAATTGCCGAAATCATACATGAACCGTCATTGGAAGTCCGTCTTCTTACTGCTGGTGCCGGTCATGACTTGGGGCTGGCTTATTACCAGCTTGTTTATCTGGTGGATGGTTCCTCCCCTCAGCTGGCTGGAGAGTCTTGTATGCGCCGCTTGTGTGACAGCCACAGATCCCGTGCTGGCGTCTTCGGTCGTCGGTAAAGGTAAATTCGCCAAGCGTGTGCCTAAGCATTTGCGAGACCTGTTGTCGGCTGAGTCTGGCTGCAACGACGGTATGGCTTTTCCGTTCATCTACCTATCCTTCTACATTTTACGTTACCGCCCAGACGCGGGCAAAGTGTCTCTTCACTGGTTCTGTGTCACAATCTTATACGAGTGTATCTTTGGCGCCGTCTACGGTTTCCTCATTGGTTATTTCGCCCGCCATGCCATCAAATTTGCCGAACGCAAACAGCTGATTGACCGTGAAAGCTTTCTCGTCTTCTACTTCGTGCTGGCGGTCTTTTGCGCCGGCTCTGGGAGCTTGTTGGGCATGGACGACCTTTTGATAGGTTTCGCGGCAGGTGTTGGCTTCAGTAACGATGGATGGTTCACGGAGAAAACCGAAGAGTCTCACGTATCCAACGTTATTGACCTTCTGCTGAACTTGGCGTATTTCGTGTACTTTGGATCCATTATCCCCTGGGAAATGTACAACGCACCGGAGCTCGGCCTTGTCCCATGGAGGCTTGTTGTGATCGCCATCTTGGTCATCTTTTTCCGCCGAATTCCCATCATGTTACTTCTAAAACCAATCATACCGGATGTGAAAACTTGGCGTGAGGCCCTCTTCGCTGGTCATTTCGGACCCATTGGTGTCGGTGCCATCTTCGCCGCCATCTTGGCTCGAGCTGAATTAGAAACAGACAGCACGCAGCCCCTGACGGAGGCGGAGCTACCAAAAGCGGGTACGGCCGATTATTACATCGTCCAACTTATCTGGCCCATCACAACTTTTATGGTCATCTCGTCCATCTTAGTCCATGGTTCTTCGATTGCTGTGTTCACGCTAGGAAAGCGCATCAACACACTGACCATCACGCTGTCTTACACCACCGCAAATGATGAGGGTCCATCTTGGATGAATCGTTTGCCCCGTGTGCAATCTATAGCCAAAGGCTCCATGTCCTTCCGGAAGCCGGATGACACAGATGCGTCTTCGAATGAGCAGGAGTATCCCCCGGGTACTCTTCCCCCGATCGGAGTTCCTGGTAATTTCCTGCGTCGGGTTCGGGACGAAGATACGGAGTCACCTACGGGTAGGACGTCAAGTCGGAGACCCCGCAGGCGCCGTCGACATGCTTCTGGAGCGGGTGGCCCAATCAGTCAGTCAGCGATTGCACCCCAACGGACTGTGGAAAGTGAAAACGCAGAGGAGGAAGAGGAGCGCGACAAAATTGAACGGGAAAGCTCGCCACCATCCAAAGAACGAGATCAGTTCGGACGAGAACCGATTGTGGAGGCTTATCTGGAAGGCCATCATATGATCATTGAAGATGAAGAAGGAAATGTTCTGAAGACAGAAGATGTTAGTCACATACGCCCGAGGAGCGACAGCGACACATCGAAGCACAGCGTGATAGGCTGCTGCAGGACAAGTCGGGAGAGTTTGCCAAGTCCCGGAGCCAGCCACACGCAAGGTCAGAGGGGGGGGAAGTCGAAGAAGCTCTAGAAGAGAAGACTGGCCACCCCCTTGAAAAGGTTCGCAAGCGGTTTGGCCAGTGGATTGGACTCGGAAAGGGTCGCGCCCAAGAGGCGGATGATCAAGAAGCCGAGAAGGCTCCGGAGACAGAGCAGCAGGCTGTTGCCGCTGCTGACAAGAAACCTAAGGGCAAGTCTCGCTCAGCTCATGCATATCAGTTCGGTAACACCATCATCGTCGAGGACGAGGATGGAGAGGTGATCAAGAAGTACTCTATTCCTTCAACCGACAAACCGGAGACAGGAGCGCCTGTCCGGCGTGGATTGACCCGCATGGGAACCTGGTTCGGCATGGACGGTGAAGGAGAGCCGTCGCAGGCAGAGAAGAAGACAGCGGATGATGACTGGCTAACGGACGACGGTCTCCGATTCACCGTGGCTGACGATGACGACATTGGTAAGAAGGGCGTTGGCCACAAGGGTCGCAGGATGAACAAGCATGAATTCGTCCAGCAACTGCGCAATCTTGGTCCCAGAGCGCGTCGCGATCTGGTGGAAGAGACAGATGCACCCCAGCATGTCAAGGAGGTCGCCCGGGACGAAGCTCGGAACGCGGAGCGCAAGGAGTCTCTTGCTGGTGATGCTACCAGAGACACACGACATGAAAAAGCAACACCTGCCCGAGCTGCATCTGTATCGAGCAGTGAATCAAGCAACGGGTCTGATATAGGGGTACCTGGCGACAACATTGCTGCTTCATTGGCCCGGTTCACCCGTGGCACGGCTGCAGAGGAGCGTCGCAGTACTCTCGACCCCTCTCGCCCTCGCTCACGCAGAGACTCTGAAGACGATGGCACTGAGCGTGTGCCTCCGGCTCAACTTCGAGAAATAGCTGGCCTGTCGCGTCCACCTCAACAAGATGACGACGACACGGGAGAAACACCTGCGGAACGTCGTCGTCGTCTCGCCGCTCTTGGTGAACTGAACTCGGATGATTCCGATGAGTCGGATGCCGCGGTGGAATCTGATAGCGATGACAACACGGGGTTCCGTCGTGTCGGTAGCAAAGTCCAATTCGTAGAAGGGACGAAGCCCTCCGATAGTGGAAATGGAA